TTGAATGCGATTGAAAGATTTCATATTTGACAATTTTTTGATGTATTTCGTTGGCTCACTGTTTCAACTTTGAAATATGATTATTCTAGACAATGCGAATCAATCCGCTGGTTGTGATACTGGGATGTACAGGAACGGGGAAAAGCGACTTGGGTATTGCAATTGCGAAACGCTTCAACGGAGAAGTGATCTCGGCAGATTCCATGCAAATTTACAAAGGTAAGTATGTATTCGTTTTGTTTGTTCACTTGTTTCTTTCCTTTTTTATTATCAATTGAATTAAAATGATGAGAAGAGTTTCAATTCGAGGTTTGGATATAGCAACAAATAAAGTGACGCAGTCAGAAATGGATGGTATACCGCATCATTTGATGAGTTTCCTTGATCCGCAGACATCTTCTTATAATGTACATCAGTTAGTTGATTCTATCACTTTGTGGTGCTCTTAAAATTGTGATAACAGAGTATTGATAATGATAAATATTGCTGAAGATTTCGAGATAGCGCCATCACCATAATGAAGCGGATGTGGCGTGAAGGTAAACTGCCAATAATTGTTGGAGGAACGAGTTATTATATTGAATCGGTTTTGTATGAAGATAATCTCATTCCGACGAACACACCACAAGGTTAGCGATAGCGTTTCGAATCGATTGTTTCGTTATTTTTCAAGTCTTTTTTATTTTCTGTGTCATATTCATTTCCCATGTAATGCGTACAGAATTACAGATGAACGAGAACGTTTGAATAAGATGTCGAACGATGAAATTTATGAATTATTGAAGAGTATCGATCCGATTTCTGCACAACAGGTTGCGATTTCACCTTTTTGTTGGATCAAATTGTTGGAAATATAATTTGTGCTGTTCAAAAAATGCGAATGCTTTTCATTCAGTTGTCCATATATTCGTCTGTTTGATCAGCGGTTACAATAACAAATCATCATGAGAATAAAAATGTCTTTTTTTTCTATTAATAATGAGTATTATTGTCCTCATTCATTTGCATCATCCTCTTGATTTGTTTTGCACTGCCAACCAATAGCCAATGAACGATACCGAGTATAGCACAGAAATCTTTCAGTTTTGATGAATGTTCAATCTCACAATTTGTTTAAAGCTAAGATGAGAAGCGAATGGAAACATTATTCATTGAAGGTGCATAAAAATAACCGTTATCGAGTGCAACGTGCCGTTGAAATCTATCAAATGACCGGTATCAAGAAGAGTGATCATTTGGCAAATCAGCGTCTGATGAATCGTTATGAAATGGGTGGCAAATTGAGGTTTGAGAATGTGCAGTTGTTCTTTTTGGATGCCGATAAAGGAGTTCTTGATGAACGATTGGATCAACGAGTCAATAAAATGATTCAGAGAGGTTTACGAGCCGAAATCGAACAGTTCTACGATGAAGTGAGTTCCTATTTGATCACTTATTTCCCATTATTTTGCGATCTTTTGAGGTGTACGAAGTGGAATTTTTGCACTTCGTCCATTCTCTTTGCCTTTTTCATATCAAAATTGGATTTTCAAATGGACACCATAGACAGTGAATGAAATGAAATTTGCAAAAATCACCATTCTCGATCGGAGTT